AAATTAAATCCTGGATCCGTCAGTGCGTCTATTGAAATGTAAGTCACTACTGTCATTGACTTGATTACTGACCTTACAGCGGCTTCTAGAGACAAAGCGATGACGTATAACAGTCCCACTCCACCAACCAACGTAATGTGACGTACAAAAGACATCGGAACTTGTATAAAACACCCGTTTTTAATGGAATTTATTATCACAGATTACATATAATTGCCTCGACAGAAACCTTAAAAAATTTACTACGTTTTTCAACTAAATATGAACTAATTAACAGACAATTTTTGTAACTGACACTTACTTAGAACTCCACAAACAAGAGAAATTTAATAGCACTATGTTCACTACACAAGCAACAACAATCTACTGGTCTTAATTTATGACAACTATAAAAAATCAGTTTCTTTGAAGATATTAAAACTTCATTCAAACAACGTTGTCTTTGAACTTAGCTATTCTTATGTGTTTAGTAAAAAATAAAGATGTTTTCTTTCAAGTATCATATCTCTTTTGATTTTGCTGAATAAAAAATAAATGTCATTAAAAAAAAAAATCATAACTACGAGTCATAGCAAATATTCTAATAATAAAATTATGCATTTCATTTAAGTGAATGAAAAAAATAGTACCATTACGATATATACATAATCGCAGACGGATCTATTGGAAAGAGAGACCTTTTGGGCTGAACCAAAATGGTAAAATGTGAACGATGTTTTATGGTAAAAAATTATCTCTTAAAGTATTATTGTTCGTGTAATTACATTTAATACGACTTCAAGAATCACTTAAATACTATAGGTTGTTAGTTCCTTTCTTTTTTTTCCAAAATAATTACCATTATATATTGCTTATATGAAAAAAAAAAGCTTTCGGGCTGAAGCCTCCTCCCCCCAAAAAAATTAAATCCTGGATCTGTTAGTGTACATAATGTATGTAGAAAATACGGTTCTTCAGCTATGACTATATAATGACTTGTGGAATATTCACGTAGGTAGTAGAAAAACAATGATGCTAATACCCTGTATCGAAACCGACCCATTACACGGAGATATTATCGATTACAAATGAAAGCGTTCATTTATAAAGAGAAATAGCATTAATTCATTGAGAGAACTAGGAGCGTTTTACCTAGAGAAAGATGGAGCAGAAAAACAGCTTAAGCTTAATCACCCATGGTTGACCAATTAGTTAAAGAACTTGAAGATAATGAAGATGGAATCAAAATAATAATTCATATAATGAGAGCCATTAAATTTTTTCATGTCATATAGTTGTAATTTTTCATTACAATTAATTCTTGTATTAATTATTCTTGTCATTTAATTCTTTAATCATTATAGAAACTATTGATGTTATTTATTTTTTGTATTTTAGAGATGGACATATAGTTGATAGTTGGAATTGTAAGGATGAAAAATGGTCAGGATGTGCAGTCAAAAAATGTGTTTATTTAGTTTCTCAAAGTTTTGACTCAAAGGCGAGGGGCATCATCAGGGCAACGATTTGAAAGCGAGAAAAAACTCTCCATTCTGGACAAGAACTTTCCTTCTTAATTTTTGTATTCATTATTGTAATTATTCCTGTCATTTAATTCCTGTAATCATTAGATCATTATTGTGATCATTTAATTACTGATATTGCAGTTATTCATGTCATTTAATACTTGTAATATATTATAAAATAAATATAGAATATTTTAAGAAGTATTAGGTCAATTTGAATCAATATGGTCAGGTGATAAGTATATATACTTAACGGAAAGTAATTAGAGAATAGGTAAAACATTTTTCAGGAAAACATTTAAAGTTGTTTGATATAACAGTTGAAAAGAAAAGGGCTCATCTACCTCAAAACTTAAAATTAGCCAATCTTATATTTACTTCTACTCCTAATACTTTTATTGAAAGATATATTTTGTGTGTATTGTTCATATTTGCATTAAATTTTTCAAGGTGATAGTTTTATGAATAATTGAAATTATTTTATCATAATATATGACAAATAAAAATCACATATGTAATGAAGACCATTCAATAGAAATGGCAAATTTATTAATTCTGTGTAGAGTTTTTAAAAATTCCTTTATTAAACCAAATATGGAATCATTTTCTATATTTTTTTTCTCTTATATTCACACTTGAGTGCTTCTGTGCATAAATTACAAGATTGGATGTATTTTGTTTCAAATAAATGTATTTTAAAAAAATTATATAAATTATTATATTTTTTAATGATGTAGAGATGGTTTACCGTTGATATAAGATGAGAAGGAGTTAATCGGGTGGTGTGGTCAAATAAATACTAAATTAAAATATAGTAATTATTTAATTTAATTGGGTTGCGCGGTCAAATAAATACTAAATTAAAATATAGTAATTATTTAATTTATTATAGTAATTAAACTCCTCCCCCCGATTAACTCCTTCTCATATTATATTTTTTCTTTAAATACTGAAGAATTACCTTAGCCAAATCCCTTTATTCCTTTCCTTTTTTAATTTTACCACATAATTTACTCAGTTAATAAGGGTACAATCCTTAATTAGTAATTTAAATAAAATAAATACTGACTGAGTATGGTATATTTACTAAAAGAAAATATATCATCAATGTTCTGTAAAAAGAGTGAGTGAATTCATCAAATTTTAGTTTCATAACAAGCTACTAATTTGTAAATAGAGAATTAACTTCAGATTCTCTCATATAAGAATGGCAAAAGTATCTCTTTTCTTGAAAAATGTTTTTTCTTTAAATAGTGTATTGTCTGGAATCACCTTTTTTACAGAACAAGATATCAGACAATGTGAAAACAAAATGAATATATATAAAAAATATTAATTAATCTAAGAAATGTATTGCATAATATAAAATATTATTAGTATTAATTTAATAAATGGTGAAAATAACACCTAATTGGAAGATTTTTCTTATATTTGGACGAAATAAGAAAAAAGAGGAAGCATTTTGAATGTTTTGAACAATTCTAAAATATTTTGATTAATTCAAAGCATGCATTTGAAAAACAAGTTCTATGAAATAAAGTTTATTATATGGTGAAAATTTAATGATTTAGGGTGAAATAAGAAAAAAAGGAATTATTTTAATTTTTTTCAGTGTATTTTTAAAAATCAAACATATTCTGGTCAATTTCGAGCATTAAAAACAAGTAAAACAAAAAAAAAAATAGTCCCGCCCCAGAAGTGTCTCCGACTCACGAATCTGTGCTGAAAATCTTTATTTTGTATTAGGAGAGTAGAAAATAAAAGGAACTCACTTTTCGAGAAGGTCCTGATACCGATAGTGCTGCTCTTCCCAATATAACATTGGATGTCCATTCCACCTGGTACCATACATTTGCTCTCATAGGATTCTGGATAGTATTTGGTTGTGTGAAGTCTTGATCCTCTCATAAATCTTGTTGCATTCATCTCCTATATTCTGCAATTTACTTGCATCCTTCTTTTCCAAGTGCCTTGAGAAAGCATTATTATTTTTTTTTTTTTTAGGTAAACATTTTGAGTGGTACATAAGTGCTGGTTTGATTATTGTTTAAGATAACTTTATTTTGAGGTGTTGTGTAATACAACGCTTCATAGTTGTTTTGGAGAAAAAAATAAGTGTGGTTTTCAGTGAGCACCCTTCTCTGGATTCCTTCTTCTAAGCTGCTATTTTTATCAATCTGAGATCCTGAGTAAATGAATGGTTGCACACTTTTAAACCTATATTGCTCTATGATTTTCATCATCTTCACTGGTAATTAGTTGCAGACTCCTTCAATGCCTGAAAAACATCCCTCACAGTGTTACGGACCCTTTCTGCAACATCCAAATCTAAAATATGAAGTGTTCCTGTTGCTTAAATACATGCATTTATAATGGTTTAGTGAGGCAGAAGTTAAAAAGGAACGAATTCCGAAACCTATTGATGTAGTTTCTTAGAGCAGCAATTCAGCTTTCCAATGGTTGTACTAACATTGAATTTAGTTAAAATCTTAAGAAGTTATGCATGCTTTAGTAGGAGGCTGGGAACACAAACTCCTTAGAAAATCAAGTACTAAAATTTTTAATTTTTGATGTCTATAAAACTTCGTCTTTATGAGTTTTAAAGAAAACTTAAAACGAATGTAACTTTCTTTTACTGGAAGCGTCTTTTAATTTTTGTTATTCAAAATAATTAGGAACTCATTTAGTAGTACAATGAATATTTTTTTCTTCTGCACAAAAAAGTAATCGATTGGTATATAACAACAAATTCGAGCAAAACAAGGACTAAAATTAATAACACAAATTTCGTTCGAAATTCTATACATTTTTTACGGTTCCTGGCATTGGCATTGGCAAGAACCAACGTCTATAAAACTACATTGAAGAAATCGAAAAATTTATGTCGAACTTGCGTGGTAATATATGGAAAAATAAAGAAACTTTAGACCGATTCGCCCTTGACTCGGAAAAAGAAGAGTTGATGAGGAATAACGGAGCAAGAAAAGTTGAAGAAATTGGGGCTGAAATCGACGTTGACACCCTCGGGCACAGTGATATAACCAAATTAACCCGGTATGGAAATTACGATGAACCGCCTCATTCAAATAATTTAGTAGCATATTTGAAAAGTAATACAAGATATTCTAATGTTACTACTATCTAGCAATTTACGAGCTTCTGAGGTTTAATTTTGTGACCTGCAGATAATTTAGTTTCGTGAACTCTCCCTAGGAGCGCTTTGTTTACAAGATGTTTTTATTCTTTAACTTTGATTTAATAAGCAATATCTTCTTTGGATATTTTATAGTTACAAGTTCAAATTTGTTGTTATCTTATTTATTTTGAAGTTCTTCTCATTTTGGGTATTTTACAGCGGGATTGATCTGGTCTCATCTCCGATATATTGACAAAACCTTTTAATTGACTAGTTCTTTCGATGAACGAAATTTGATCATTTGTGTGGCTCAAGCTGTTAGTCATATTTTAATAAGTTCTTACAATAATTTTTGCACTATGGAGGAAGATTCTCAACTGTTTCAAATATCAGCAGCACCTGATGTGGCAGATGTTGGAGTACCTATTTATAATGTTGTAAGTTTTTTTATTTCCATTTGCCAACATATTGACTTAGTTGATCTATTGAAACATTGTTATTGTTTGAATTTTGTACTCTTATTAGTATAGTTAGTAATTATATTGTTTCACTTTACCTATCTATTTTTCTAGTGAATAATTACCAGCATTTTAATGCTGTAAATTTTTTCTGTGGTAAATGTAGTTCTTTCTTAAGCCTTTATTATTTTTTTCTCTTTGGCTTTTTCGGTCTTAGAGAAATGAAATTTTGCATAACAAAATTATATATATCTATTATTGACAAGATTTTCTATTAGTTATTGTTATGTTAATTATTAGTTAAGCAGTAGTTGATGTTAATTTTCTTTTTTTTTTTTAAGGATCTAGTATATGATATAAACTCCAATCCAGATGACGAAGAAAAACCAAAGCGTGCTAAAAGTTCAAAAAATTGTTGTTGGAATTGTGGAGGTGATGGCCACAGTATTAGAGACTGTAAACTTCCTCATGATGGTAGAAGAATAAGCCAGAACAAGGCAAAGTTTGCCACACGCTTGTAAGTTACATAGTAATTTCGGTACTAGTTCACAAATTTCTGGTTTCAAACATTATGTTTTTTTTCAATGTTTGATGATTAAACCGCAATATGTTCTAAATATTTAAAATGATAATGATGATAATTAATTATGCCTCCTTAAATTGTATATAATTAAGAGTCTTGAGATCGGGCGGCTCCATGCACTTTTAGACACAGTTGGCTACTTTTGGATGTTTTGGATGTTGTTTGATGGTTGGTTGTTGTGTAGTAAAGGGGTAAAACCTGTTGTCATCAATAAAATTATTTTCTTTATTTATTAAAAAGTTTTTATGAGTGAAATGTGTTTGTGGGAGTATTGCGGTTCCTTTAACTATAATCTATTATTGATTAGATTTATGTATATATATTTGTAGATGTATATTTCATTAATTCATGTGTATCTTATATATTCATGCTATCTCCATTTATTGACAACCAAACTATAAAAGTCTGGGAGAAATTTTATTAGGAAGAGTGGATTTAAGCATTCCTGTTCAATCCGGGCTACATGCTTTTTCAGAAATACAAGCCAATATGCTTTAATAACATTACATCTTGGTCTTGAGCATGTTGTAAAAATTGAACAGAAAATCTAGATCATAAAATACAAATTTCACCTCTTTTGTCTTCTGAATATTTTTAATTCTTACAGAATTTTGCAACATGGCTGTTAATATGTAACATGTATATGTGCATTATTATTATTGAATTCAATGATCGGAATTGACTTTAGTTTGCCTAAAAAACTATTTTATATTTGAGGTTCATAATGTTTTTATTTTCAGTGAATTTAAGAGATACCATGTAGATAATAAAAAAAAGGTTTTTCCTAATCTCGCCCCTGGAGTAATAAGCGACAAATTACGAGAAGCTTTGGGAATCAATAAAGATCAACTCCCACCATATATTTACAGAATGAGATCTCTTGGTTATCCTCCTGGCTGGCTTTTAAATGCAAAAACAGACTATTCCGGGATAGAGATGTTCGATTCTGAAGGAAATAGTGAGTACAATATTTTGTTAATTGTGCTTTGTTGTCATAAAACAATCTTGATTTGGATTTCAAATGTCCTTGATGATACATAAACTAAACAAACGACAAAGTTAAATGATTTTTAATAATTGCTCTGAGGTTATTATTAATAAATGTTATTGAAATTGTATTATAGGGATACCAAATGCAGATGAAGAAGAAGGTGAAATTGGCTTCCCTGCTGAACGTATTTCATATGATGAATCTAAAATAATTACTTATCCAGGTTTCAATACGTGGCCTGAGCCTGGTTGTAAAGATGTAAGTTAAATTATTTATTATTTTTAGGCTATTTATAATTTATTGTCTATATAGCTTTTTTAATTTATATTTTACCATTAATATCAATATAATAAGTTAATGTGTTGTCAGATAAATAAAATATAATAAATAATGGTAGAGAAACTATTTTAACTTTTGTATGTTATAAGTTCTCAGAAAATATCTGCAAATCTACTAAACCATTGGTAGAATTTTATTTTACCTAATTTGTGCCAAATTATTAAGGATTAGCTAGAAAAGTATTTAAAAAAATAATCAATACATTTTTAAACTCTGGAAAAAAATTGTAAAACTTTCTAACACTTAAAAGGAATGATATCTCTGTCATTGCATATATTTCATGATTCTTGATTAAAAAAAAAAATTCCAGTGCATACTATACAGTAACGTTTGTAAAAATTGAGTGTTTTACAGGAGGGCATAACAACTAATTACTTCTTTATGATTTATTAGTATAGTTTAATAGTTTATTGCCCTCTACTATTTTTCATCGTAGCAGACTGCTTATAACAGTTGCAGGCTACAAAACATCATCTTTATCACAAATAGAATATTCGAAATTTTTTACATACAACCTTTTGTACTAACAGTAGTGATATATACTTAATATGTATGTTTTCACTCGTAAAATGGATGGAACAAAAAATCCATAGGAAAAATTCAACTTTTTGTTTGCTCGGTGTTAACAAGACCAATACTGGAATATAGAAATATTTGTGAAGTTCACATAACTTTGATATTTAAGGAGGAAATCAAGACCACGATGGGTTGGTTGAACTTCAATAGAAATAAACACAATTGTGTGTTAAGTAATGTTTGGAATTTTTTTTTTTTTTTTTGGGGTCCTCCCCTTCCTCGCCGTTAAGGCTATACGGGGTTTTCTCAAGCCAGGGAGTGTGGGAGGGGATTTAAACGACGTCTTGGCACCGGGACGCGAACTCGTGATTATTTTTATAACACATTTGTCATATATCAGGTTTCCGGGCAACGCTGGTGCTGCACAACGCATTAGCCCATTCGGCCACCCCGCCCACCGTAATGTTTGGAATCAACCAAACAATACATTTCTAATTTGAATAAAACCTAAAAATTTATAACCCCATAAAAATATTGTCTTAATATAACTCCCACTCCATATGATCAATGCCTTCCACATTTCACATTCATTATATTGTTAACAATTATTTACATTAATTTCAATTATTAAATGGAATTCAATGAAATTGATGCTAAATTATTTCAATACTATTCTCCAAATTTCCTCAAAGTTTGGGTAAAATCGAATGCGCAGTTTTCAAATTGTAGGCGTGTCAAATAATATTTTTTTTTTTTGTTCTTCCCTACCTCGCCTTTTAGACTATACGGGATTTTCCCGGGGCGGGGGGTGAGGGCGGGGAATTTAAAATCCCCTCCAGCACCGGGATGCGAATTCGTACTTTTTATATCATCTCAAATCTCTGTTATCCGGTTGCCAGGCAACTAGCGGTGCTGTGCACACGCTTTAGCCTATTCGGCCACCCCGCCTCCTGCGTGTCAAATAATTAATTTCATGATCTAAAAGCGGAAGTATTTTTTTTTGAGTGGTGGATAGACTTTGATAAAATTCATATATTCTTGATTACCAATCCCTAATCCAAATTTGAGCCAAATCGAACGGGCAGTTTTAGTGATGTATCAACTGTATATTGTAATGTAAATATTACATAGTGATTTTGAATACTGGCGCAAAGGTGGTGACGTCACGAACTACTGACGGGAATGGACAAGAAATGACAGATGGTAGGGAAAGCAAGTTCCATATGTTAGGACAGAAGGTAGCCAGCCGGCTAGTAAGGAGGATCGTTGAGAAGAAAATGAGAGTTAATTAGTATTGAGTGCCTACAACTAGACGAAGACAAGAAAATAGAAGAACAAGAGAAGGTTGTAGAAGTTGGATACAATACCGAGAAAGACTCACTGCAGGACAGGGTGAGTGAAATATAAATGAACAGTTCGATAGCGCGCCAAGATTAGACCCCGATAAAGCAATGGAAATTCATAAATAAGTTATATACAATTAATTTATGCCTTTATATATTTGAGGAATGTGTGTAAGTTGTCTCAACCCAACCTGGGAATTAATTATGATGTAGAGATGGTTGACCGTGATATAATATCAGGAGTTGATCGGGGGGTGCGGTCAAATAAATACTAAGTTGTATAAATAGTATTATTTAATTTTTTTGACCCACTTTGCAGGTCTTCATCAGGGCGTAGAATGTAGCACTGCAGGAGGCAGTTGAAACACTCAGTGTGTTAATAGTGTTTCCACTGCCTCCCGCAGTGCTACATCCTACGCCCTGAAGACCTGCAAAGTGGGTAGAAACGTTGTCAAAAAAATTAAGTAATACTATTTATATAACTTAGTATTTATTTGACCGCACTCTCCGATCAACACCTTCTCATGGGAATTAATTATTATGTAAAATAAATATTATTTAATTAAGAAACTGTTTGTTTACTTTTCGAAGAGAACATAACGTAACAATATATTGATACAGATATATCAAGGAAAACACGTTTGTGCATATATAAGGCAAAGTAATGGACATAATTCAATAAAATTGACACTGCATTATTTTTTACTAATACCTACCTTTTGTCCTACTTGGAGCCACATTGAACTAGCCATTTCTGAAATATTGGCATATCTAAAAAAATACTATTAACAATTTTTTACTTTCACTTAACTATATATGAAATATATAGTAAGTGAAAATATTGCGATCGTGAACATTTTCAATGGAAATACTTGTTTTGAGATCTCTTGAGTCAAAATAACCAAATCCAGCAAAATGGTCTGTGTGTGTGTGTATGTGAACAGTTTAGCTCAAAAACAAAAAGTCGTATGAAAGTGAAATTGTATATTTAAGGTTTGTATATTCCTGGGATGTTACAGAAACCTTTTCAACAAAATCGGCTAACCGGAAATGGCACTTTATATTATCGATTTTACATATTTTTACGATTTTCTCGAAAACGGCTTCAACGATTTTGATTAGATTCATTATACCAGTGTAAAACTAAGCACTTTTAAATATAATGTAGGTTTTATGCTCATTGATGTTCTCTAACTGGGCTTAAATGGCTAATTTCCTAAAAAATCGAAGTACCTTTAATTTTTTTATTTGAAATACTTAACCATCTCGCAGTTAACTCTGTTACAAAAATAGTTAAATCTGAAAGAATTTGATAATTAACTAAAGGAGAAATAAGAGATTGTTACGAAGAATAGTTGTAATAGAGGAACCAAAGAAATACGAGCTTGCCCAAGCTTGCCTGAAAGATTAGAACAGGCTCCATTCAGAACATGAGCTTAATATAATACAGACTCCAACAATATTATATACATAAACATATGGGATTTTCATAAATGCTATAGTTTGTATTATTTAATATTTAATTATGAAGTATAGAGATTACAGTGATATAAAAATTAAAGTTTTTATATATACCGGTTAGTTAGCGTGGCTCTACAATCCAGTGTCGAATCCTGGCCTCCTCCAGCAGCTTCCGCCAATTGTCTCGGTCCCTGCAGCTGCCATCCAATTCCGAAGCCTCAGCATATTTGTTGCATCAGTAGCTACACCATCAGCCTATCACAGCTTTGGTCTTCCTCTTCTCCTGCTACCATGGAGTGGCTCCATCAGTAATTGTCTTGGTGGATCCTCATGGCCCGTCCTAATGACGTGTCCTGCCCATCTCAGTCTTGCAATTTCTATCACTCGAACTATATCGGACTCCTTAAACATGATGTACATCTCCTGGTTTTTCCTCCTTTTCCACTCTCTTCAGATGAGAACATCACCATATATACGTTCTGAGGATTCTTCTTTCAAAGACTAGGAGTTCCTCTTCACAAGCCCGGGAGTTAGTCCAAGTCTCACAACCATACAGCAAGACTGGACGGCCTATCGTCTTATAAAGACAAAGCTTCGATTTTCTGGAAAGAGCTCTACTCCAGAACTGCTTTACCATAGAAAAATAGCACCGATTAGCTGCTATCATCTTACGCCGAATCTCTTGTTCAGGTGTGTTGTCTTGAGTTACCAATGAGCCAAAATATAAAAAAACATTACGTCTTCTCGAATTGGTACTCCCCAAAAGTCACCTCTCCAGGCCTAGGCATCTCTCCCGTAATCAAATATTTTGTTTTTTTAGCGTTGACTTCCAATTGATTTCCCCAAAATTAAGTGCTCCTTCAAGCATTTTTTTATACATTCTGGAATCGTTAGACATCAATCCTCTTTAGATTCAGAACATCATTTTTATAAAATCATTAAGTTTTATCTGTTTTGTATTGATATTCTTTTGTCATAGAAAATTTATTTTTTAAGGAAACAATGAAATATAGTGCTCCTGAAATGAGCATATATCAAAGTAAGGAAGAATTCATTAAAAGTTTAAAGAACCTGACCTCATCTGTTTCTTACAATACGGGAATGATGTGGAAGGATAAAGTTGCAAAAATGAGGGATGAAACTGATATGGAAATAGAAGAAACTGATGGTGAGTTTAATAATTATTGAGACAGTTATAATAATAATAAATAATTTATTTAGACTTTTAGATTATACTGAATAATAGAAACCCATTTAATAAAAATCTAGGTATCTTGAAATTCATCCTTTAATTACAGAATGTTTTATTGTTTTAGATATCAATCTCCTGCCTGACGATAAGAAGTGTACTTTTATCCCTCCATTGCCAGATGACTGTCCACCTCCTCCTCCACCACCTGCAGATGGTGATATTGATACTTTGGTAAGTTATGCCGATGATTAATGTTATCATCAAGACTGTAAACTAAAATCAACATTTTTTATTAAGATCCAATCTCTCCTTTTCTTGTATTATTTTTAAACGATTAAATTTCTTTTTTAGAAAAAAAAGTATTAAGTTATAAATTTTGCTTCTAAAAAGATGGGTATAATAGCCATCAAATTAGATGTAAATAATCATATTAAATTTAATTATGAGCGAAGTTAAGAGACAGTTCACAAGGGAGGATGTGAGTCATTCTGAACAACAGTCTTAATTTAGCATTTTTGTAAAAGAAAATTCTCGGAAAGTTTAAGTATAAGTATTTTGTTTATTGTATTTAAAATAAAATTATTTTGTATTTGAAATGCCCTTTATTGGGAAACATTAATTATTTCATTAATGTGCAAATAATCATTCATTGCCTTTTTTATTTAATTATTGTTCTATTTATTTTGTATTATTGTCTCTGAATAGAGCCACCATCTCTCTTCCTCATTTCTTTTGTGATGTCCTCATTATGAGAGTTATTATGTAGGGCTGAAAATTGCCAATGTAATAGTAAATAAACAATTTAATGATATTCATGTTAATTATGATCAAACACTGAAAAACATAGCCTGATTATTAAGTTTACATTAAAATAAAAATACTTATTGTTCATTTTCAATCATTTAATTAATACAATATTTGCATTAGTTTTCATTATTTAAGGTATTACTGTTTATTTTGATTATTAATCTTGATATTCGTGATGTAATGTGTCCTTATATTGTTATATATTTATTTTTTGTTTTAAGGCTGAGAAGTGTGAAATTGATAAGGTTGAGAGTTCGATGAGCGATGAAAAATCTTCCGGTAATGATGACTCTCTCAGTACTCTCAACACATCAATGGACACCCCTGGAAGTACCCACGGAAAGATAAAATCAATTGACTATGGAACTCCAGTTCTGAAAATTCATTCACCTTACAGTAAATTGCCTCCACCTGAAGCATTTAAAAAAGATATTAGCGATGTTATTAATTTTGAAAATCTGCCAGATAGTACCGGAGCCTATGAAAAATTAAAAGATGTTTTAAAATCTGCTAGAACAAAAATGTCTTTAATAAAGGAAAATAAAATGAATAACTCTATTTAAGTCAAATTACATGAAATAATGTGTCTATTTTTTATATATATTACTATTTTGTAAGTTTGTGTAAATATGTAAATGTAACGTTTTTCCCTGATTTTTCTGTAATGTAGTAGAACTGAAATATGTCTGTTTACATGTAAATATAATTATTTTACATAACTTTTTATTTAATATATCATAAAAATGAGTTTTATTGATATAAAAACTTTTTTTTTTTATGCTAGTTATTGTGTTAATTTTTTTAAAAATAAATTTTAATTCCTTTCTTCCATATTGTAGTTTAGAAGAAAAAAAAGATTTCTTTTTTTAATTATAAAATATATGTAATATGATTGAGATATTAACAAATTTACTTTTTTAAATTTGAATTAATATTTTGTGTATAATTCTGACAATTATTTATTTTATATGAAATTAATAATTAGAATAATGGTATAATTCATTTCTTTAAATATGATCATGATTTTAAATAGAACTATTCCATAAGATAAATAATTTATTATGAATTCTCTCAGGCTTCATATCAGTTTCTGTTGTGTCTAATAAATTATCAAAAAGAAAAAAGTGATTTTACTTTTTATGAAAATATTTCTCAAGCTCTAGATTTAGTCCAAATCATTTAAAAAAATGATTTATGTTTGTCTAACAATTGAGTTATAACTTGTTAAAACTTATTTGAGCAGTTCAGAATCTTGACCTTAGACCTGGTTATAATAGGTACATTACCTGAGCTAATTGGAGTGTATTAGAACATTAAAGGAACCAAACAATATCAAATTAATGAATAAACTATATTTTATTTTTCACATTTACAAAGAAATACAGATTCTAATAAAGAAAGAAACTTACAAAAAAACTAGGAGACCCATCAGCTTGGGTGACAATGATATTTATATAATAATCTCTTGTCCTTATTTACGCTTTAGTTCAAACTTTGTCAGATAACCGTTGGAGATTACGCCTTCTTCTTTTTTCTTTCCTCCTTCCTTTCATTCCTTTTCTCTGTTTTAACTCTTTATTATATTATACGTTGTCTGTACATCTTGATAGACTTTACAACATCTCAATTTTCTATCCAACTATTCTATTCGCAATATCTTAATTTTACTATTTATTTCCATTTCTTATATAACTTCATATTTTTCAGTTTTACATTTTATTCTAAGATTCTCATTTTCAATACTTATGTCACCTTTTTTGATTATGTTTACTTCATCATTCCACACTTTGTACCAGTTATTATTATTTATCTCTTAGTTCTTACTATTGTCATTATTCTAACAACTGCATTTTACTTTAATTTTTATGTTTCTCATACCTTTTTATCTGGTTCTTTTCTTAGCCCTGATTATGGCCTGAACTTCAGGTCGAAACGTCGACAAATGTCAAAATAAATATCATTTATTTTTGCCTTCTTGTTTGACTGATCACCCCAACTATTCTTCTCTTCATTATTCACGATAGTCAACCATTTACCCACAATTATTAATATAATAATGATATAAAAAAAATGCTTCAAATCTGTAAGTAATATTTAAAAGTTGTATCCCTTTTAACATAATTGTAAAGTAAATTATAGTTCTTAACATTTAAGAAAGTTCTGACTTCACACTCACACAAAATTTTCTTTCCAAATGCATCCCTTCTAAATTCTTTGAGAATAGGGCAAATCACAGGAATATGGAAAATATCTTCTGGTTCCCCGAGGTTTCACAAGGAACAGTTGGCATTATCATCGAGGCTCCAGGGTTTTGTGTTTAGAGTTAACATTTCAGTTCTTACCGTACTCATTATATGCGAAATTTTTTAATCATTTATGTATGAAAGCTCGTTTGCTTCAAATTTTTAAGTTTTGTACCATGAGTCGTATTGTGCCTTCGCTAATCTTCCTAGAATCAAACAATATTAGTTTCCTATTCATTTATCTGATAGCTGACTATAGAAATCTACTGAACTGAAGAAATTTTTTTAGATAACCTATTTTATTATAATTCATTAATGGTTCAGTGAAGTAGAGTTTATATTTGATTTTATATAAGAGTTTAAATTTTCTGTGTGAAATATCTAAAATCAAAGGAATATATCGTCACTACCTACTTATCTCTTGTCTGAAAGAATTTACCAACTATTTTATTTCTGTTAAGTGTCTACTGCAAGATTCATATAAATTAGGTTGGATTACTAAGTAATGGAAATAATAGGTCATTATATTAAAAGGTTTGATAGGACTGATTAAAGTTGGCATTAGAATCAACTGTATAGTGGCAAAAGGATTATATAAAAACACAAAATGTTTAGTCTTATTGACAATTAGTATTAGCCAAATTCTGAAAAAATAGATTTATTTTTCAAGACCACAATCAATTTGAATGAAGTTCATAGCTGGATAGAATATTGTTAATGAAGACAAAATTTCTGCTGTTAAAATACTAACTTCTTGTTTGGAAATTAGATTTTTTTTTACAATAATTAAAAACTAATATAGGTATACACAATAATAGATTTTAGAACAGATATATTTAAAATAATATTAACAGTGAAGGTATAAACCAGAATAACATAAATGTTATGCTAGAAAAATAACAAGAGACCAAAATGAATTGAGCATTTATTTTTTTCTTAATGCAATTGAATAATATTTTTTTATTTAGTATAACATTTAAAGGTAATCATTCAGGAGATTATTCCCTATATTCAAGAGATAACGAATTGGAGGCAGTGAAGACTTTATAAGTAATGCTTTTATTCATAAAGTTACAAATGGCATCTATAATACAGAGTGATATAATATGGATATATGAGTTGACTACATGAGTTCACTCCAGGTCTCCTGCAGTGAAGAGCATGACTCAAGAATGCAACTGCATGAGTGGTTTGGTCTGAGGATCATGGGGGTTATATGCTCAGGAATAGTAGGGGGGATGGATCAATTCTGGATGGTCTAGGTAGCGTGTGAATGAAGTTATAACTATTAAGAATTGATATTCTTATCTTTTAGAATTGATATGAAGTCTGTGAGAAAGTGCTCTTTTGATGAAAACGGTTATTGTTCTCTAAGTCTTGATAAGTGTCTTCTGTCCAGTCAATACATTCTAGATAACTATTTCTAAGCTATCAGAGATAGCTTGACCTGGCTATCTAGGGCTTTGTGCTTTTATGCTTTGATAAAGATCATGAGAAAGGTCAATGCATGATTAAATGATGAAATAAAATAAAAGTTAATATTAATAGTTGTTACGGATTAAGTCCATTCCGTAACTAAGGAAACTTACGCGGGCCGGATCGGAGGTACCTGTTGGTTGGAACCTGCCGCTGGCCGTAGTTTGGAGACCCCGGGTTAAAGGAATCCCTAAGAAATATTACCTGTCAAAAGTTGTAGGGGGGCAGAGGCTGTGCTGTGACTACGGATATATTTTTTGATAATACAGGTCGCTATAATATAGTAAAAGTTAAGTATCGATGTTAAAGGATGTTTTGAAGCTAAAAGTTATTTCAATCTCTATTAGTTTTTAATATTGTTTACGAAATTTAATTAAATTTTTATCAAATGAAACTTTTATATTAAGAAAAATTAAATGTAAAGTTTAATTTACAGCCTCCATATGGAGGACCTAGATGGTAGGCAGGCTCATTTTCTTTCAACCTCGTAATTTTTCTGGCTAACGACCTCTTGGCTTTGAACGAATCGTTTTTAAACTATGAACATGAAATAAAAGCCCTTTTCTTAATTAATTTTTTTTTTGTATTTAAATGTTGTTTAGTTACTAAAGATTGATTAAAGTTATTATTTTATAAAAATCATCTATTTTTTATGTTATTGTAATATTACAAGAAGGGCTCAAGGTATATTTCATTTTAATATTAAATTCAATTAAACTCAAACTCTAATTTCAAATATGAAGTTTGATGAGAAAGACGTATGTTCGTTTCCAAATTGGTATCCCACATTTAAAAAATATACTTTTAAGTCAGTTTGTATACCTGTCCCTGAAGAAGTATTGGAGTATTTGAGAAAGGATGTTGTCACAATACCTACTGAAGCAACTATAAATAAAGTAAGAAGTGAAAACATTGATGATATCACTTATTCTAACTGGGATTCAGAGAGTGAAGATGAAGATGAAGTTGAAATACCTTCATTTCCACAATTCAGTGCGCAGCTTAAAAGTACATTAGATAGTTTTGGCGGAAGTGCATTCATAAAAATGAATTGGAGTGCGCCTACTGATGCAGCTTGGGTAGCAACAAATAATTGTTTGAAATGTAGTCATTTGCAAGATGCATATTTGCTACTTAAGTGTTCTGACAAAATTTCTAAGGATTTAATGTACTCCAATAATCATTATATTGTTATGAAAAAATGGGAGGATATTCACCCTGGTTCTGAATTTAGATGTTTTGTAATTAATAATGAACTGGTTGCAATTACACAACGTAGTAAATCAGAGTTTCATAGATACATATTGATGAACAAGTTTAACATTGTAAATGATATTAAAACATTTTTTCAAGATATAATAAGAAATAAATTGTTGATTAATAACTTTGTGTTTGATGTATTGTGGAATTCTGGATCTCGAATCAAGCTTGTTGACATCAATACTCTGAACTCAAAAGATGTTGAAGGTTACCTCTTTACTATGAATGAGGTACTCAATCTAAAATTCGATGAGGAGCTTTCACCAGAGTTCAGGTTTATTGGAGAAGAAATTGGTATTCAGCCATCAAATTTATCACAACATTTTGGTCTGCCAGTAGATTTGACAATGTCATCTGGCTCAAATAATCTTGTTGAACTTCTTCAAACCCAGATGGATTTGAAATCTGATGAATAATTTATTATTCACTTATGTATTTTTATTTAATAAACATTGTTTCCATTAAATGTTATTTTATAGCACCACAATTTATAATAGTTATTATGAGGGAAATCTTGGTTTATTTATTTATACTGCATCGTCTGTTTATTTCATAATGCTGAATAAGTAGGGCAAGCTCCTAAATACAGCACTGAGCTCATCAATGACATCGTTTAGGCCACTGGAGCCAGTTATGATTAATGAGCTCATGCTGGGTTGCACTTTTATTAAAACATTTGAAAAGAAACATTTTTTTTTTATATCTAGTCAAGAAGCTAGCTGTGGAGGAGGGTGGTTAAAGAAGAAAACCCCGAAAACATATTTTTAATGCATGCCACTATTGTTACAGTTCTTTTGTACATTCAGACTTCAAGATTGTACTGAATGCCATATCCCCGGAGTTTATATTGAAGTGTTGGTATACATAAAAAATAAATTTTACTTATCAGTGTAAAATCCAACCACACACTCCAACCAACTTCTTGAATTATATCCACTATTTTTATATGTCTCCTATTTAATTATTTATCTTCACTTTTATTTTTTTTGCAGTAGACTGATGAAATTTTTTCTAAATGATAAGAGTAATTAGCTTATTGGGCTATAAGATGGAATAAAATGCTATGTCAATAGCATTCAATTTATTAAGATTTTAAAATATTAATATATGACTGACTGGCTTTAACTCAAAAAAGCAACCGAGGTTCATATTTGTAATACTTAAATCAGAAATATCACCCTGTTCAATAAAAAACTAGTTTCATCCTAATTTTCTTCATATGTAGTGGCATTAAAATTGACTTAAAAAGAAAATTTGTTATTCTGAAAGATTTAATGTTCATATATTTTAATAGGCTGTCTATCAGGATCAGTCTGATTTTGAAGAAATGTTTGTAGTGTAAACTACTGCCTATATAATAAAGCAAAGTAGAAAGGAGCACATTCTCTTAAAATAGCGATCTCTACTATTGAGGTGATTAATGACAAAAACACTGAAACATCTTTTAGAAGTGAAATGTGTTTGTCTTAGAACATTTAGTACTACTACCATAACTAAGTTTTATAAATATGATTAACCTAAAGCCAAAAATTATACACTCATTTCTTCAATACAATGATTATTTTAGGCATTAGTTTTATTTGAGGGAATATACATGTTAGTATGTTGGAATATGGTGTAGAAAGAATGGACAAAAGAAAAACTGTTCAGCAAATTAAAGACAGTGACCTAAATATAGTTTGTATTATAGTATAGAATACTATAACTCTGGAATATTATAAGAGATTTTTTTTTGGGGGGGAGGGAGGAGATGAGAGGGAAAGATCTCTTGGAAAAAATGCTGTTGGAAAGCTAAATAGTCACCTTATACCTTTTTACCATCAGGTTTTACCTTAACAGGTGGTATGAGAGGTCCTGAGAACCCTGATGATTATTCTAATGAAACAATAATTATAATAACAATAATGGTCCAGGGTGGCGGTCATAAAAAGACTAAAAAAGTGAAAAACTATTTTATTTCGAGTTGACGTTTTGACCTGATGTTGCAGGTCTTTTTCAGAGCTAGAATGAACAAAATAAAAAAAGATATAGACTATTTTGGATGTTACATCTAGGTAAAAATTATAAACAATGCGAATAAAGATATTAAAATTATAAACAGTATGAATAGAAAGTACATAGAAATATTAAGAACAATAAACTATATAAACAGAGTAAACTAAGCATCAAGATAAACTGAATTAAATAAATGTTAACATGTGTAGATTATTTGTGATGGGAAAAAATTGAATGTAATAAGGAGGATAGATAATATACATAAGTATGAATATAATCATACAGATCTCAGGGAAAGATTGAAAGAAAAAGGAATAATAATAAGAAATGATGGACATGGAGTTGTGAAGAAAACGAGAAAAAAAAAAATTAGACTTACGGATGTGTGCAGCATGGAGTTTCAGTTGAAATTGGGGAATCATGGGGAAAATTGCTGACCTGGTAGGAGTATAGTGTGTGTGTGTGTGTGTGTGTGTGTGGAGCGAAAGGAGAGGTTAATTAGTAAAAACAAAACAAAACCAAGAATATTACAGTATCTAGAATTTGAAGATATTTATGGATACATGAAAACAAATATCTATGAACTAATTAATGATAAATATATACATATACATACAAGGAGTAGGATTATATTCATAATTATGTATATTATCCATTCTTCTTATTACATTCAATTTTTTCTCATCTACAACAATTGTTACCATTTATTTACTTCAGTTTAGGATCTTATTACTTTGTTTATATAGTTTATTGTTCTTAATATTTCTATGTACTTTCTATTTACACTGCTTATAATTTTAATAATTTATTCACACTGTTTATAATTTTTATCTAAATATTATGTAACTTCTACAATTTCGTATCTTGTTCGTTTTAGCCCTGAAGAAGACCTGCAAAGTCACTTAGAAACGTTGGCTTGAAATAAAATAGTTTTTTTTTTTTTTACTGTTTTAGTCTTTTTATGACTGCCACCCTGGACCATATCCTTCCTCTAAAATATACTACGGTCAACAATCAAGTATTGAATACGAAACAATAATTAGATTCTTTAGTCTCAAGCTCACCAGGCAATCTGCCATACACTATGCGAGATTTATCGAAGTTGATTAAAATTAGGGATTATATTAGGGGTCAAAGTTATTTCGATGTGTGGAATCAAGGACTTATGGGGAACTATTTAAGTCTAGAGAAGGTATCAATTTATTCTTTGAACTTTTATTAATTTTACTGACTGTTTCTTGAAATTTAAAAATGACTTGAAATTAAATATATCCTAGTATTTAAAAGATGCAAATAGAGATTCTTAAAATTTCAAATTAATTATAATTAATATTTAGTAGTTATAATCTATATATAGGTGATAAATAGTCAGGACTCAGTCATTTTAAGATTTTTGATTGTAGCCGATGTTTCAATCCAAGCATGAGGGTCATAAATCAAGTACTATACCTACTTGTATTGAGTACTTGAACACCTTCAGTGCTGATAACATACCCTGATGTTGGCCCGCATGCTTAGGTTGAAACATCGGCAACAATAAAATATCTTAAAATGACTGTCTTGTCTATTTATCGCCTATGATATGTAGAACAGTCGACTAACTTCCTTCTATAATCTATATATATTTAAAAAATATAAGTATTTAACATAAATGAATGCATTCTACTTTAGCTAATAAATCAATAAAATTCATTGTGTTTAATAGTGAAAGAGTGATTCTACTCAATTTGGTTTTTATGTGGAAATGGCTAAACTTGATTTGATGTCTATTACTAATACTAGGCTGCGAAATGAAATAGAAAGAGGTGTGTTATTAAATCAATTATTGTTTGCTTTATTTTAATAATTTGTATGTATAGCATTTTTATTCCACAGTTGGTTTGTTTTCAATTGAAAAGATTTTGCTGATGGGAAATCAAGAATTAATGGAAATTGGAAACTTTTCAGATAATGACATAAATATTATAAAAAATATTGCTTCCAAAAGTATTCTTCCCGAAGGTTTTAAAAATGGTAAATAACTTTTTAAAAAATTGTCTTATTTGTATCATTATTTAAAAGTTATATTTATTTTTTTTATTAGCTCTTTCTTCAGAAAATCAGCTAAAAAAGAAATGGAAACACATCACTTTGGATTGTCCATCAATAGATCAAATTTTAGGTGAGACTAAAATGTTTTTTATATTTTTTGATGACTAAAATTATAATTCAACCTACATTCATAAATTTTTGTGTTTTAAACAAAAAAGTATGCATTATAAACTAAATCAGCTATAACTGATGCAAGATTATAGATCATAGGTGATAGTGAGGACACAGTAATTTGATTTTTATTGTTGCAGACATTTCTACCCAAGCATGAGGGTCATCACCAAGGCTGGAAATTTTTTATAATATCAGAGATATAATTCATAAAATAAATGATAGTTAGCAATGGTATATAGTGATGGATGATACATGAGATAACTCAGCTATTGTATAGATGTTAACTTGAATATTGTATTTATCCATAGAATTGAACCACTATTAAATATTACATTTTATAAGTTGATTATTCATATTGAAGAGAAGAATAGTTCGGATGATCAGTCAGAAATATGAAGGGAAAAATAAATGATAATATTTATTCTTAGCCCTGATGAAGGCCTGAACTTCAGGACAAAACGTCGGCAAATGTCAAAATAAATATTATCATTTATTTGTGCCTTCTTATTTCTGACTGCTCACCCCAACTATTCTTCTCTTCATTATTCACGACAGTCAACCATTTACCCACAATGATTTATATTATTTTATAGTTTGCATAACTTATTAAGTACTCCAGTTGTTTATCTCATGTATCATCCTTCACTATTTACCAGTAATAACTATTATCTGTTTTAATGTATTATATCTCTGATGTTATTAAATTATTTTCAGCCCTGACTATTTATCATGTATGATATATAGAGCAGTCGACTAACTTCCTTCATTAATTCACAATTATAGATGTTTCTGAAGTAGAAATAATGGTCAATATAACTTATATAATAAATAATTTCCACTCCAAGAATGATTTAAGATTGATTTCTGGATTGTAAAGGTTCACTTCTGTACTTCAAGTCCAATGCCTTCAAAAATCATGTATTTTTATCTAAATGTCACTGAAAATTTAGTCAGATATAGATAAATATATCTAAATTAAATCATTTACCTTAAACAATTCCCGTTATAAGTTTTAAAAAAAATAAGTTCTTGGAATTTAGGTTTAATTTTTATGATTCATGCAAAATAATGATCCAAATATAATTTGTTTTCTATTTAAAACAGTTCTCAATTTTAATCAACGAATAGGATAAATACAATTCTTTTATTTCACATTGTTAATTTATTAATTTATAATATGATTATAAATTACTTTGCATATTAGTTGCTAACTAATCTTTATGTTCCACATGCCTGTCTTTAGTTGATGAAATTATTTAAAATTAATATTTGGGATTATGAGTGCACATCTGTACATTTTAGTATGTTCTAGTATATCTTGTTCATAGGAGGTGGACTTCCTTGTCGAGGTATAACTGAACTATCAGGAGAAAGTGCAGCAGGTACCATTCATGTGTTATTTATAAAAGTTATTTAGTTTTTGCCATGAATTATCCTGTAATTTTTCTTCTTCTAGGCAAAACTCAATTTTGTTTACAATACTCCATCACAGTACAATATCCACCTCAATACGGAGGATTAGGCCGTAGTGCAGTGTACATCTGCACCGAGGACAAGTTTCCATCCTCTCGCTTACATCAACTATTGAGTAGTTTCCCTCGGGATGAAGCTGCCAAAAGTTCTGTTGGAACTTATCAATTCAGTGACAACATTTATGTTGACCATATTGCGAATACTGTTTGTATAAAATCTTAATTTATTTCACTTCTTTAGAAATATTTGAAATTATTTAATAAGATCAATACTACTGAATTAATCAAATATAATTTTAATTTATGCACAAGTAGATATAAAATTGATTACAGATTTTATAATTGAATTTCTTTTGTCTAAATAATGCTTAATTAGTGTCTCTGAATTCTTTAAACAGTCAAAAGCTGGCTCAGTATCCATAACATGAAATAAATAACATATTTTTTTATAATCGTTATCTTAAGAAGGAAGTAAAATATCTCAAGTCTGAAATATTAATGTTTGCTTTTAGGATGCCTTGAAACAGTGCCTGTATCATAGATTACCACAAATGCTTAAGAGAATCCGAGTGGGGATTATAATTATTGATTCAATAGCTGCAGTGTTTAGAGGAGATTACAGTGTAAATGAATCCATTGTTCGGGCAAAAGATCTTAGAGACATAGGATTGCAGTTACATAAATTATCAAGATATTTTGGTACAGCCATTTTATGTGTCAATCAGGTTAGTAACATTATATATACAAAGATATCATCTCAAAATAAATTAGCATGTATTGAAAATTTCTCATTATTTAGAATATAAATTTTAATTATTTAATATAGTTATAAGTTCAGATAAAATTCAGCACTGGTTCGAAATTCATCCTTGAAGATTTGACGTATTATATTTTCATGGTGGATCGACAGAATGAAATTTAATCTTTTCCCAATGACTGGAATGCTTTAATAACTTGACCTTGCTGTGGCAAAAAAGATATCTGTATCTGTAATCTTGTTTGTACGTAACAAGATCGTAATAGACATTCTTATACCTACTTTAATTTCAAAATTGATAATATCTACATTGTTTTCTGAGTTTATGAACAGAAATGACCAGAATCAGATGACACTTTGTTCACTGGTGAGACGAGACACTTCTATTTGTGTGGATTTAGTCTAAATGTGATTTGGTGTTGTCCTGCTGAAAAATAGCTTTTTTTTTAGGCAATGAAGAAATTATAACGTAGGTCTTAAAACTTAATATCCACAAAATACGTGTTAAAAAAAAATACATCTGAAACAGTTTTGAAGTGAAACATTATTAATTGAAATTTTTAAATTAAAGTTGCTTTCAGTTGTATAAATAGTCAAGATATGGTCAAATAATTAGGAATTTGTCATCTGGTTGTAGACATTGTAAACAATGGTATACATTATTATAACAGAATAGTCTAATAAGGATATAAAATTTATGATTTTTAAGTAAATCACATAATGTGGTTAATTTCAGCTTGTCTTTTAACAAAGTGAGGAAGTAGCGACCAATTCGAAACACTGAACTTAATTGTGTGATAAATTATTTTTCATTGGCCAAAAAAGAAAGCTATTGATTCAGTGGGTCGTGTCTTTGTAAGGAATTATTAAATTATAATATATTAATAATAACTTGCTCACTCTGTTAAAAGTCAAGCTGAAATTAACCACATTACGATTCACTTAAAAATCACGATTTTAATAGTTATTAGCCTTGTTAGATGTTGTTGGTAATCACTTAACATTTGAAGTCTATTATGAAAAATAATATTAAAAATAGTGTAAAAAAAAAAAAAATATTTGTTATACTTCTTTGTTGAAGGTTACAGATGCTGTAGACACTGGAAAGACATTACCTTGCCTAGGATTAGTATGGGCAAATCTAGTAACTACTAAACTTCAAGTCAGGTTGTCGCCGTGTAGAGAACGAACTTTCCACCTACTTAGTTCTCCTAATTTATGTCCAGCTTCTATACCTTACAGAATAGAAGCATCTGGAATAGTTACGTAATACAAAGGATTATATCTTTAAATTGTTTTGATAAAAGTTGTTTTGTGATATAAATAAGGTAATAGGGAATGTCTGAGAAGTCTGCTATGAATTTTAAATATGTTATCTTGATATTGATACATATTTTATATTACAGTAAGGGTCATTTTCAAAATCTATGCACTATTGCAGTTCATATGTTTCAATTTACTTTATATACTTTCTTTTAGAGATGATTTTAAATTATACAGATAAAGTTTAATTAATTACAACTGAATGGCTCTAGATAAAAAAATCCTAATATTTGAGCTATAAAGTAAAACAAAATAAGAAGAGAATCAGTTGGCACATTATATGAATATGTCAAATTTGAATGTTAGTCACTTATAAAATATAATATCCAGTTCATCAATGTTACTGGCCTTGAGTGTTACCTTAACAGAGTAACAATAATTATTTTAATAAATAACACTCATTACAAAGTTCTGACACACAGATTTAAAAACTGCAAAAAATCATTTTTTACTTGCCAAATTGAAGTGGATTGCAGTACTGCAATGTTACCACAATGCATTCTTAATACATGTTATGGTATTTAGTCAAAATTATTTATGAACTATGTAAAATTGCATTTATTCTTAATAGGACCCATATACGAAAAAAATAACGTAGAAGAAAAAAGTTAATGTGATAAAAAATGATAATAATTCATTCCATACTGATGTTTAAGTGACTAAATAGATTTGATAATTCTTATATATTATTTTTTATAATAATACAATTCTTATTAACTTGAGTCAATAATATCTCATGGATTATCTTACCAAATGTTTGTTGAGTACCTGAATCAGAAATAGTCAGTCAACTTCTGGTACAATCGTGGTTGTAGAAATTACATCACTCATTTCTTTTGATTCTTATATTGATAACATTGACTCCATTGAATGATTTTGTTTTTCTTTTCTTATTTAGATTACATGAAACTTTAGCAATGTTTTTCAGTTCAATTTTAACTAATGCCAGGATAAAATCTGAAATTATGACCAGTTTCAAAAAATCTCCTCGTCAGAAAACATTAAAATTATGAGGTTACATGAAGTGAAAGAATAATCACGGGACATAGTAACGGGAATAAGGTGTAACCAATAAACGGTAGCCATAGTTTTGAAAAAAAAAAAGGCCCCATGGAACGAAAGAAAGGAACCAGGAGGAGAAAAAAAACAAGTGAACAATTTGACCGCTTAATGGTGTGATTGTTTTTAGAATATCGTTTCAAAATTGGCAAAGAAATATCCGGAGTTCTTGAATTAAATAAAATAAAATTTTTACTGGATAATCTAATTTCTATGACCGCGACTGCATGTTTGATTATGAGTGGCACATCATATCTAAGTTAAAAAAAGTTTCATGATTTATTCAGAGTGTCTCAGTTGAGAAATTATTTAATATTTTATTTTTATACATTGAATTAACCACTAGAGCATTTTCATCTTTACATACAAATTTTATTATGTTTATAATTATTTTAATCTACACACAATTGTTCTATTTTTTATTGTTTATCAATTTTTATTACAATCAATAACAGTTGTTTTTATGCATTAATTGTATGCTATTTGTTTACTAGTCCTAGTTTTAAAATTATATTTAACCAAAATAATGTACAGTACATGTTACGTTGAAACTATATTAGTGTTAAATTATAGCAAATAATAATTATTGATCTATATAAAAACATATTTTTATGTACCAACTTTTAGCAGCCAAGTTAGCAATGATAAGGAAACTTGGAGTGAAATTTGGTAACATTGCAATATCTCAGAACCGTCTAATAAGAGGTCGTCTACTGAACTTTATTTTTTTCAGTACCAAAACTTTTAATTAAAGAAAAAATAATTGTATATACAGTTGGGGTTTTATGTCATTTAATAAAGTGGACATTGTTTTAACAATATGTTATTATGATAAAAAAGTAATTAAACTGATCTTGCATTTATTATTCACCATATAATTGATTTGAAAATGTTGATCCGCTTTACGATAACCGATAAATACAGTGAGGTTTTATTTTAAGAAATATGAAAAATAATTTTATTCTGGGTCTGAAGTCCCTTTAGAATAATAGCACAGTTCAAAAAATATGTACATCAATCTGGCATTTAGATTTAATACAGATATATACAAAAAAAAAAAAAAAAAAAAAAAACCAAGGAAAATACAAATATATACTCCGAGGTTTTTGGCTGTTGGAAAGAAATGGATGAGACGGTTATTGAGGTAAAGTAGAGGAGAGAAAGAAAGGAAACTAATGATATACCTGGAACCGATGAGGATAGCCTTAGTTTTATACGCATTCAGCTTCAGTTCATTGTTTTCTGCCCACCTGTATGTCATATATATATAATATATGACATAAAATAATATACATATATGTGCGTGTGGATGAAATACTGAGCATTTCCCTCGCTAACAGTATGCAGGTCGAATTTTAGTTTCTGAGATATTTTAATCCATATCTTCAATAAAACTCTTTATCATTTGGTTTTTGACACTATTTTTCCTTTTTCGCCTCTTTAACATAGTGTTAAGTTAAGATACAATTTTGAGTAATAGCTCATTACAAAGAAGATAAAATTCTGCATATTTTGTTTGCTTACAATATGCAGGCCTAATTTTTAGTTTCTCAGATATTTTAGTCCAAATGCACTTCAAAAATTCACTGGTGTGCTTAAAGTAGAAAAGAGCCGATATTTTTCTATTTCAGGTACACAGGAAATGAAAACATATAAGTTCATAAAAAATTAACTTTGAAGTTTTAAAATTTTTAATGAAAAAAAATTAGTAACACTGTTATTGAAATTATTCAGCAGAGATCAGTATTAATAAAAAAAAGTTTATAAACAAAAAAATGAAACATATTTTTAAACTATACAGAGAGCTATTTCTCCACAATTGATGTCATATTTCTTATAATTAATTAGAAAGGAAACTTAATAATAAACAAAATACAACTGAAAAATATATTTAACATAAGCAACAACAATATAATATAATAATGTCTATTTACTATATACATTATTATAGAACAAATTTGGATTAGTTATTTATTATTATTAAATTACACAGCAGAAGTTATATTTCAAACTGAATTCATTGGATATGAATATAAGAGTTATTAAAAGTAAGTAAAAAAGACATTTTATAAAATTAAATTGCTATTACTTAATAATCTATTATTTATAATTGAGATAATTATCATAAGTTAAATTGACTTTTTGAAATGATTAACAAAGAAGAGAAGAGAAAGCTCAAGAAAAACCCTTTTTATCTACAACTCATACAAAGTTTTATAAATAACTCATATATTCATAATCATTAATATACTTTTGTGTAAAAATATTTTTTTATTTTTGTTTATGTATACATATAAATGTAAAGGGTATGAGGCATTGAGCTTAGCCTACAATGCTGTTAACCTAACAATGAAATTCTTCAAATTTATAAAACAAGTAACTTCTTCACAATATAGAAAATAACCATTTGAAGGGCTTTTATACACATTTCCTCAAATTCAGACCACACAATCACTCTCAATGCCCCTGAATGTTACAAGGAAGTATTGAAAACTAATTATATACATCATCCATGTTAAAAAAGAAGTTCACTAAAAACCGAAAGTTTTGTCTTTTACTAAAAACTTTTAAGTAAAGAATGGAAATCAAAATATTTCTTTTTAATTAATTAGTAGAATGCAAAACTTGGCAATTAGAAAAATGGTATAGGCATATTATACATATCTCCTATATAAATACAAAAGTAAAACTTCAACAAAATTTATCTTGGTAATATACACCCCCTTATCCTCATATAATATGTTTTGGATATATACAAATGAGCGAGGAACTAAAACAATAACGTAATAGCGATAAAGAATAAGTCATACATTAGTGCTTTAAAATGACTACAAAGCCAAACATAAAAGTGCTATTAGAATATCACATACAATAATATGAATTATATAATTATCCAAGCTAACAGATTTTATGGTCCGATGAATATTACAACTTTTAATTAATCATTAATAATGTGGTTTGATAAAGTATCATTGGGTAAAATAAGATGAAAAACAAAAGATATATATACATGCATATATATATATATATATATAATTTTAAGAAGATATAGTGATGTTCCGACACCTAATCTGTTAGATGGGGCGATCCACAAAAATTAATTATAACGCATGGGGAGAAGCTGGTGGTTCATCTCCATTTCCCTAGAAAATCAAAATACATATTAAAATTAAAAAAAAAAGAAGGAAATTCTATAATTTTATTGATAAATGGTAAGAATCAGTATTCAGGTTTTAAAACCACAGCGAAATAGTTGTGATTGGCCAGTTTACCCATATTTAATATAGCTGAGATTACAACTTAATTCACAGAAAAACTGTGTTCTTAAGTAATATATTTTATATTCAGAATGAAAAAGGCACCATTAAAAACATTTTCTTCTTCTTTTTCTCTTTTAGACTTAACAGGGTTTTTCCCGGGCCAGGTGAGAAAGCAGGAGATTAGGCCAGAGTTAATAGTCCCCGAGCACCAGGATTTGAACTCGTTATCTTCAGTTTATCAGGTTGGAGAGCAACAGGTGTTTTACACACGCATTAGCCCACTAGGCCACCTCGCCTCCTGGGCTGAGGTGGCTGTAAAGCTTGAGGTCAAACTAAAATGGTTGATTAACTGCATTGTACAATTCATCTTTGGAATCCAGAGAAGTTTGCATTCCAATTTTATGAAAAGTTGAAGTGATGAGTATCAGTACAACCCATAGATTCGATATTTTGTAAGGAAGTACAGCTTCTTGGTCAACGTTTGTGTTAGGATTTGACTAAGATCTGCTCAATCATCACATTTTCCCACTTACAAAGGTTATGGATCTGGAGTCACCGGTTTCAATGAAACTTTTTTTGATAATACTAGGTCGAAAAATAGATCCATGTCCAAGGGTTCTTGCCAATAGGTACCCCAATAGGCGATATAGGCCCCCAAATCAATGCTAGTTTTCATGAGAATAAGTGGAGCCATCTTGAAGTTATCATAATTTCTGTGATTTAAAAAAAAAATTTAAGGCTCCACCAGGCCTAGGCGAAAATTTTTTATTTTTCAATTGATATGAAAATTGGTATTTCGAGGTGCGAAATACAAATCTCAACTTCATATTTACTTAAAAAAATATTTGAACCCACTTTAATTCTTAGATCAGTTGTATTTGTTTCAATATTCAACACACACTATATCTGTATGCCAAATATATATATTTTTTTCTAATCTGGACAGGTATCATAAGTAATATTGTATGCAAAAAATATAGTATTTTATTGAACTTCAAATCGAAAATAAGAATAAAGCATGTGTACAGATTATACACCATGAAATATATTTGAGATAAAAAAAGATTATATTCATTTTTCACACCCCAAAGAACCCTTAAATATGAATTTTCATAGCAATCGAAAAATATAAATTTTTGATCAATAATCTGCCTAATATTAATAGCTCTTATGAGATCCATCAATGTTTATAGATTTGAAGTAATTATTAGTAAAGCAAAAGACATTTATTTTTCGATTGCAATGGAAATTTCTTTAATACTTAAATGTATATTTAACAGTTTTAATATCTCCTGATTTTTATTATGGGGTTAAAAAGATATAACAACAACTTGAAACAAGAATTACGATTCTGCTAACCAAGAGAAATTATTAACTCTATAAACTCAAGGAACGCTATTATTTAGTCTTGGTAAAGTTTTAATGAAAACACAGTAGAGGCTCTGTTTGTCAGAGATCAACTATTTGAAGTCCAGTTTTCTGGCTATATTTTCCAAGAGCTCAAGTATTGTAAAGAGTAATAAAAATTTTTAACAAGTCAATTGTAAATATTAATTCTCTATCCAATACAAGCAATACAGAAGGAAATGAAAACATTTATGGTTTCTTTTGAAAATGTTACTGCATATCTGCTGATGTACAGAACTATTCTATAGTTCATATATATATTTAAGTTTTATGGTATACTAAACAAAGTGATTAGTAAATGTTACCTAATATCAAACACAATTAAGAAAACAGAAATATATTAACAGACCTTCCTCAGTGGGATCATTTCAAATGAAAAGATATTGTAATCAGTAAGTGATATTGTATGAAGTAAGAATTGATAATACTTGGAATTCCAGAATAAAATATTAAGACAAGTTAAAGAACTACATAGTTGCAGTGATTAAATCGTGGGACCACAAACAAAACTTGATGTTAATAAAGAGGTTTGAGAAATTTGGATTTTAACTTTGATGAAATAAAAAATTAAAAACAGACATAAAAATAACAAATAATATTTGATACAATAAAAAACAAAACAAACACTATTGAAGTAGATTAGATAATGACAAGAGATGAAAATATTTCTAATCTTGTTCCAACAATGGCATTGTTGTTATCAGTATTAAAAACAACAAGAAATTACTGCATTCAACATAGACAGGTAGTAAAAAAAAACATCAACATACATTTCCACTGTTGTTTGGCTTAACATCCTTTTCACGATTCCGAATTGATGAAGGGCGCATGAAATATAGCAAAAAAGCTACTACCATCCAGCAGATAGTCATCATCATAAATCCATCATCATTCCTTGGCTGATCTGAGTAATATGATCTCAATAAAACTACTTTTAAAACAAATTTAAATCAAACAAAAAACATGAGCTGTACTTACTTGGCTGAAAGCACTCAATATCATTGCACTGAGACTGTGACTGTCGCAACTGGAACAAAAAAAATGAAATAAAAACTAGGTGATTTCTAATCACTACGAGAATGGGATATTTAGATATTTAACAAGAGCTAACCAATAACAGAAGCCTCCTCATAGCCATTTCATGGCTCCATATGTTTTCACAAAGATCCATACCATCATCAGACATTTTAGTTGATTCCTGAACAAGTAATGAGACAATTACATTATTAGGTCAATATGTCATAACTAACTATGGGCTAATATAGGTTATGTTTAATTGATAATACTTTAAATGTGTCAATATGGGCTTAATCACAATATTTGCAATACAAAATAAGCAGTTTAATATGAAATTTGCGTTTCTATATGCTTATAATTTTCATTAGATTATTTGAGCATACGGTATGGTAGGTATCATACAGGTTAAAAAACATTAATTTAAACTTACTGTTAGATAAACACAAATCAACTAAATGCACAAAACTGTATTGTCAACCAAGCGAGACTATGTTACGATAAAAATTAAAGAATCAACCTTGTATCGGTATTTACTGTTTACCACACAGCTGACAAAACTACAGACTTGTTAGAATCCCATTGGTGACCAGCCAGCCAATCAACTTCCAGGAATAGCAATAGGGATTTAAATTAGGAAACCGATTAGAAGGATTAACTTGCTTTAAACAATTCCAAATTCATTGTTTTTCACTTCATCTTATCAACATATATTAAAAATGGACTTTGATTATAACTTTTACTAATATTATATTGATATACTAACTTAATTTACAAATATATAAAGAGTACCTGAATTAAAATTAGGCAAATAAACATTTGCTACATAATCATCCTTTTAATGCGTTAACTTAAACAATAAATTTTTTTAACTCTTTAATTTACAACAATGTAATCAAATCAATTTGTATAAACTTAGGAATGTTAAGCTAATGTATAGTTGTGGTTAATACATAAATAATGAAGACAGAACTGCAGACAGTACAAAAATAATAAATATTAGAAAAGATAATTCAATAATTATTATTGTTTTAATTTGTTTCCGTGGAATTGGGAACAATTAGGTACTACCGTTCATAAAATATTATTTTAACAATTCTTAAAATATTAGGAATCACAAAAACGACCAGATTTCACAAATAATTGTAAATGAAACCTGTTTACAACAATTCTAAAAGGATTATAGAAGGATTATTTATGATTATTAAGACAGCTATAATTGCAAGAAATAGCTTGTTAATTTCACGATTTCAAATAAAAGGGAAAACACAATATATTTTATTAATAATAATAATTATTTTATTATAATAATAGATAATTATGTCCTAGAGAAGGTTAAATTCGAGATTAAATTAAGAGCTAGTTCCTAAACTCTTGATCCAGTAACAGTTCCTGAATGTCATAAATGTTGATACATATTTTATAATTCGCTTTACACTTGATGATAGTAAACATATATAAGAGATGGGTAATAGTCGATTGATCAATTATTAGGATGAAATAAAATTGTCAGGATTTACAGTCAAGAATTTTTTTAATTAGCTTAACCGACGTTTAAACCCAAACATAATTTAAAAAACTCTGGTGCGCGCAAAACACCATTTTCACTTACCGCTCTGCTTCGAATACAAATTATTTTCTGGCAATGTTAGGCTATTATAAATTTTTTCAGGTGTATTTTTAACCGAGCTAAAGTTTAAAGCTTACAGCTAACAAATTATTAATACAATTAAAAAATGCTGCAAATTATTACACAATGACTTATTATTTTCAAACAATTTAACATCAAAGTTAACGTTACTTCCCATGTAACATTAAGGAAAATAAATAAAAAGGATTCCTAACATTGGCCTTTATAATTTTATTTTTGATCGTGGATAATTTGCTTAGAAAATAGACAATACTTTCAAAAAATCAAAAACCAAAACAGATATAAGCATTCTAGTGCAACATATAAAACATATTTAGAACACCATATCTTGGCTCTAAATTGTCCGATTTCAATGGTTTTTTTAGTAAAATTGGTAAACTTTTAAATAACCATTTATACGAAATTAACAAAAAAAAGTGTATATTTCTTGAGTTATTCGGAAGTGTAATTTTACTACCCCTCATAACTTTTTTTCTTTGAAGTAAGTTATATAGATAAATTTAAAGGTCATCGAGGAGAATACTTTAGCCAAGTTTCATTGAACTTGGTACATTCGTTTAGGCGCTATAGTCTGAACCAACACAGGTTCTACGGCAACCGTCTTGAAAGGAATAAGTGGATAGTAATGCCGAAGTAGGAGGATCATCCTCAAGTGACCTCTGATATTGATTTCAAATTTGAAAAAAATCGGTCCAGAAGTCTCGGAGAAAAGCCGTGGACGGCGGACGGACAAACACATTTTCATTCGATTTTCGAATTCCACGCATCGTGAAACGTAAAACCTAAAACTTTGAGGGTGGGTTCAATTTTTGATTTTTTTTGGACGATTACAATGGTTCATTATTGAAAATAATAAACCAATAACAAAAATCGTATTTATTATATCAACGGTTGATTATGGATTGTACGGCTATTAGTTATTAAACAGTTATTTTCCATTGCAAAGTTTGCTAAAATGGAATTAAGAGATTTACATTATCTCTCATGGTCAAGTCAAAAGTTGTCACGCTAATTATAAGTGGATACTGTTGGAATATCACAAAGGGAAAATTCATCAAATTATTCCAGTTTAATTTTCCATAAGTTTACATGACGGTTTTTCGGAATAAAAGGACGATAGATACCTAATTATTTGAATATATCTGATCTAGAGTTATTAAACAACAGTAAATGTATTTAAGGTTATAAAGTTATCCATGAAATATTTTTATATTTCACATAATTGCAATGAAATAGTATTTTAAACAATGCCTTGATTCCATGGATTAAATAATAATTTTCAAACTTAAAAAAAAATTAAAAAAAAACTTTCGCGCTCATCACACAACTTTCACTTACCGCTCAACTTTGAATATAAATTAATTTCTGGCCATGTTGGGCTATTATAAAATTTTTGAATTGCATTTTCAACTCAGCTAAAGCTAAAAAAATACAGCTAACAAATCATAAACACCATTAAAATAACAAAAGTTTTATTTATCTATATCATCGGTTGATATACATTAATACACCGAGTTTCATCAAAATCGTGACGTCGAGAAATGTTCTACTTACCCACTTGTTTTTTTTTTTTTTTTGGCATTACAAAACTTGTAGTTCAATTGCTGCCTTAACCAGCCTTTTCCTGGCTATCTAGAGCTATTTCTTTCCAGCTATCTGCATGCAGCTCTATAGCATCATAGTTAATTTGAGGGTGAAGGGTCAAGGTACTGAGGAGAGATAGTACCTTTAGCTAGGGAAGATCTAGAGACAGGTCCTCACTCAAAACCATGGGAGTAGTCGAGAGGCCTGAGAAACTATAAGTGGAGACCGCGAGGACACTAGTCTCAAGACCATCCGTGCGCGGTAAAGAACCGCACCCTCCCGAGGTTACCCTGCTTTCGACTGAACACGGCGGATCTAGACCGGGAGGTCGATGAATATCCCTGGAAGCAGGCAGCAGTGCTACCAGTACTGGATTAGAGCCGAAGACGGTAGGAGTCGGCTGGGTCCTGACCAGAAAATCAACTGCGAGAGAACAATCCCTACAAATGACCCAGAAGTCAGAGATGTTGGCCGAAAGGCGCACATAGTCTCCTGACATCTTTTACGATGGTCAAGGAAAACTGGATATCACGCATTACTTCCCAAAATGGCTACAAATGGACAAAAGATTATGGAGGTGTTTCTCTTGTGGACTGGACCTTGGGACCAAGTTGCTCGGAAATCTGGAGGAACTAAGAAGGACCACCGACTTTGTTTTCTACTTCCTGATATGGCCATATAGAGGGAAGAAGAAGAAGAAAGTTGATTTGATCTGTCTATTTCGTTCTTGACCATCCACCTGGTTTCTTGCGGAGTATTGAGGCATTCATTGTTGTGTAGAAGCGTCCTCATGGATTGCTTCGAGATACATGTCCCGCCCTTCTTTATCTCCTTGCCTTTATATCGTGAAATATTGATTGACCCGTTTCTATAAGCAGTTCTTTATTTATTCTTTTCTTCCATGCGTCAGTAATCAGATCCCAAATTGGTCCGGTTATAGTTCGGGGGAATTTTCTCTCAAATCTTTCAATACTTCTTTTTAAAGTTTATATAGGTAATTAATACATTTTTTAAAATAACTACCCAATGAGGTAAACAATTATAGAATATTTTACAATATTATTCTAGTGAATAAGAATTCCGAAATTGTGGTATTTTTTGTCTAATACTGAACCACGAATAAGGAAACAGTGTAAAGTATATAATGCTAAAACGAGGACAGGATGCACAGTAAGTATTCTCTTGTATTTGGCGTATTTAATTATTCTCACACGCATGTTTCTTATGTTACTCGGTACATTATGCTTTTTGTCAGAAGGGAAGCTCTGGGCTGAAGGGAAATGGGTATTCACCAAGTGAATAATAATCTTATGAATTATCGATTTGCCTTTCAATGGTAATCTAGGGCTTCTTGCAGAATATGGAATCGTTTGGTTTTTGGCTTTACGACGGTTATCAGTTGCAGTAAATTCGATGGATGTTCATCTACATTATTTCTCAAGCTTTAATGAAAAGTTTAAGATGCCAACTCGCCCGTGTGGTGTAATAGGCAACACTCAAATTAGGGATCTTGAGCTACTAGTTTTGGACAACTAGTACACCTAAGAATTTTTTGTTAATGGATTCAGGATCTTCACTCTCTTGAATTAGTAACTACTATTTTTAATTCTCCACCCTTAAATTAGCAGCTGCTTGAATAAAGACGTAGAGCCCCGGTATATAAAACAAAATTAAATCTCTGTCTAAATTTAATGAATGATTGATCTTCAAAGCCAGGGATGCCCAACTCCCTCCCCACAAGGTCGATGGCGCATGAACCTCTCCCTCCTCCGCCAATATATTATTGCTCTCCTCTTTTTAAAAACAGTGTAAGCGAAAGTAGAACTTTAAAAATCATACTTCATATATAATTACAGTTTCAGTGGTCTGCTGTATGATTTCCTCTTGTCCCCTTTTAATTTCGAAAATTCACAACCCCTTTAAAATATGCCCCCTCA